ATGGGGGAGGGAATGTTTGGTGATTTTTTTTCTGTTGTTGTGGTTGTTTTTCCCTCTTACACACAGTTAATCCAACATAGAGATGGAATCACTGAGCTGGGATTTAGTACATGTAAAACAGAGTAAGATGTGAGATAATAGCTTAAGCGTAACAGAATTATTCTCAGAAGACACTAGTCAGAAAATAGCATAAGACAAGAAATTTAAAGGAGATTGATAAACCAAACAGCACCTGGCCATGGGCTAAGAATCCAGCAGCTGTGGGACAAACTCATATTGCAGAACTAAATTTTCTTCTTTTTCATCTGTTCTAGCACTAATTTATAGGGCTGTAGTTCACCCACTAAGCAGAAAACAATCAAGCATAACAGAAGACCAAAAGCAGCTGTACCAGTCACACAGATTCTCTTGACCTGAACTGGTTGTACAAACTAGTGAAAGGGCTGGTCCCTTTTCTTTTTATGTAGCAGCTGGTGATTCTGACTCTTTGTGCTGCCTATACTGGTGCTGCTTTAGGAGATGGGGACTTCTACCTCAGCATTTCAGGTACCTATCTCCCATGCCAATGAGTATGCATTTGAAATAAATAATCAGTATATTCTTCAAAATTAAGTGGACAAAACCAAGAGCTTTATAACAAACATTGAGGAACATTCAAAACCAGAAGTGTTATCTTCAAAGTTCTCATTTGCAAAGGATCTCAAGGAATGTGTACCAAGGCTTTATGAATAAAACGAAGACCCTTTCTTAGCTGCAGCTATTTGACAGATGCTAATACAAGAGTATTAATATGCTAATATTCATGCTTAGCACTATGAAGAATATTACAAATATGGATCAAGTCAGCCAGGAATCTCCAACAACAGAGATGGTCTACTGAAGGCAGAACTAAGGCAAAGCAAGACATGAGATTTAAGAATCTGAAATCTTTTCACATTTCTCCAGAAAAGAATCAGGGGAATCAAAGTCACCTTTCATTTACATAAGATGTACATTTGAGAGTCCTATCCTTAGAAGGCTAGAAGTGGTTTGGTTAGACTGTTTCAAAAGGCATAGTAGTGGAACACAATCTTCTCTCATTTGATTGCTTTTAATCTTAAGATTAGTTAAAAGCATCTCTGGTTTAAAAAAAAATAAAATAAAATAAAATCCCAAATATATTGCATATGTGAATCTCAAAGGTTTGACAGAGTTTCTGCTATTTAGTACTCAATACCACACAGTGAGCACAGTCCTCTCAGAGTATTACTATACCTACAACTCTATCTACCAGCTAGGGTTGTGTTCTTTTTTCATATATACATATAATATATTAATTATAGTCAGGTAAGTAGTTCCAAAAAATAAGTTAAATGAAAAATTAAATTTCCTGTTAAGACCAAAAGCAAACAACAACTCATTTCATTAAAACAACAGTAAACAATATGCATTTTTGCAGTATCACTAAGTGTAAACAATATGCATTTTTGCAGTATCACTAAGTTGGGAGAGGTGTAATAAAAAGAAACCCCAAACTAACCAAAAAAAAACCAAAAAAAACCCCAACACCCCACAAACCTTCTTTAACAAGGAACCAGTGTTTTGCCTTACAAACATCTGTGTTTAATCTGTGTAGAATTTGTAAACAAGATGTTGGGCCTTTGGAAGTAAAGGCAAAATGTGTAGAATTTGTAAACAAGATGTTGGGCCTTTGGAAGTAAAGGCAAAAATGCTTTCCTTTATTATGGTATTTAAAGGCTATCATTTAAGAGTTTGTTTTTTTAATAGCTTGTCATTTATATAATAAAAACAAGTATTTGTACAAAGATGCAGTTTCTTTTTAAAAAAGCAGATCAGTTGAGTGTTTCATACTTTAATATATAAACCGAAACATATGAAAGCTATAAAAACATTAATGTGTGCCATGTATTAAACATGTCGCCTTGTATTTTAATGCTTACATGTGGAGATTAAAAAAAAATTATCACAATGGAAATTTTACTTTCAATTATCATAAACAGACCAAAATACAGAGTAGAAACACGTCATTTCTGAAACTCAACAATTAGCATCACTTACTCTCTCAAACATCAGCTGGGCTCAAGTTGTACACTGTAAGCATAATCTAACATTCTACTAATGAAAGCATTACAAAATGCATTAAGAGAAAATACTGCCAGTAAATGAATATCTCAATCTATTCTTTTATTTAGTAATTTTTCTTCTAAAAGGCAGTTTGAATTGGTTTTATAAGGTTGGGTTTTTTTGCTGTTCTGCTATCAAAGGTCTTCTTTAAACCTGTGAACAATTCAGTCACATTACAACAAAACAAAAAGACAAATAATAACAGACCAGCTACTTTGAACATTTTAATAATTGTAATTCCCCAATGCTGTTCTTCCACTCTGCACAGGGAAATCGTTTTATTTGGCACATTAAGAATAAAAAAGTCAAAAAAATTAACTGAAGTTTACAAACCTCCAATTGAACATCATTGTTCCAAGTTCATTGTTCATTAATGTCATGGCAAAATTAAAAACAAAAAAACCACACACAACATAGGGAAAGGTCCTCCAATGATCAATGTCATCAGAGCCTTGTAGCAGAAACAATATACATATATTAATGTTCAAACCAGAATTGGATTGCTAGGAATCTTATCTCAAGTCCTGTTGTGCTCTTACTTACAGTGTGTAAATCCTCACTAAATGGCAAGGAGACTTTGATGAACACATTTCACATTGTGTAATTTTCTCTTAATCTCAAGTTTTAATGCAGATACTTAAATATCTGTAAAGTCCTGTAAACTCTGGCTGCTTCCCAGTCATCTGCACCATCTGCTCCCCAGGCAGCACTGTTTCACTTCAAGTAGTGTCTCACACTGTGGTATCTCCAAAGTCCTTGTTCCAGCGAATGTACGCTTCCAGGGTCTGAGGGCTCAAACTGCGTTTTATCTTCTTCAAAGATTCTGTGAAATCCGACAGTTTGATGTTTCTCATCTAAACAGAACATGAAAGACATCAGGGTCACAAGTGGTTTATTTACTTTGGTTTATTCAAGAAGTACTTGAGTATTCACTTTTAACAAAACACATTCTACAAGTGCTGCATCTTGATGTAAGAACAAGGTTTTTTTACAGTGAGGGCAGTCATTCACTGCAACAACCCCCAAGAATGTGGTAGAGTCTCCATTGCTGCAGGTTTTGAAGATACAACTGGGCAGGGCGCTAAATAATCTCATTTAAGTTCCCTTTCCCATAAAAGGATGAACCATGTGATCCTTTGAGCTTCCTTCCAAACCAGGGTGTTCTACTATTCTGTAACCTGATGCAAGAGTCTTGTCATCTAAGAACACCAGTATTTACCATTTGTAATAAACTAACACTCAATAATAGCAAGATCTGCCTTGTTACTAAATAGCTCATGAGACTGTGTCATTACTTCCTGTTTCAGTAGGTGGTGTGAGCTTGTGCACATGAGGACATCATAACAAATTAGCACAGATTCTCTTACCCTCCTGCAACAAATCCTTCCTTCCAGCTTACAGCTTTAGCTGCCACCTCAGGCCAAACACAAAAAGGAACTGAGAAATTAAGTTTTGCCTCATCTTCCCCTGTGTAACACCTGTACATATACCTGAAGAGAAACTTTTGTACACAGAACCAATTGCTTTTTTTTTTTTCTTTTGATGTTTACAGCTGCAGTTTGTAGTCAAGAGCATAATCTTTTTCTTTATGACGGTCCATGTGAATGAATGCAAGTATTATACATGCACAAATCTGTTTTAGGTTCTCCCTAAGTAAACCTGCCTTACATAAAGATGGGGTGGAGGGGGTAGAAGTAATTTCATGTAATACTTCTGTTCTTGGGAAATAACACTGAGAAAATAAAAGCCAGGCCTCTGACTTCATCAGCTAGGTAGCAAATACTGCAGTTCAGTGTGAAGGAAAAGATAGGACAGTCAGCTGAAATGAAGAACAATAGACATACTAACAAAAAAAAGAAGTGCTCTGAAAGCCTTGAAAGCCAACAAACTACCCATGAACCTCAGACATCTGAGGACACATCTTCTCAATCTCTATTTCTAAAGAATTTTCTTTAATGAGGAAGTGATTAGAAGGGATAATACCCCGCAAAATTATCATATTTTGTATGACAATACACATAAAAAAGGGACCTTAAATGTTTCTAGTGAGAAAACATACTATTTGAATGAGAAAATACAGCTGCTAGAACAGCTTACCTCACTGGCAGACATATTCTTCACCTGTTCTGGTTTTAATTCTGTGAAAACAAAAGATAAATGGGCAAGTTTCGTAAGAAAACTTCCATCACTTCTGACAACTAAAACATGTTAAAAGCACTTCTATTCTGAGAAAAAAACCCCTGCAGCTAAAAATTATACCTTTCTGCCTCAACAGTCTCCTGTATAGAAATGTACATGGTTTTTTTACCTCCTTCTTCCCTATTTATCAGCTCCTCCTCAAACAGGATGCTCCTACATTCAGTTGCTGCAGATGCAGCACAGAGTAGTAGCAGAATTATTCCTTCTTCTAAAGTATGGAAAATAGCACACAAGCCAACAGAGCTATCTTCCCCCATATTATTTGTGGTATCCACAACCTCCCTACTAAATTTCAAGAAACAGAAGGTACAGTCAGCCAAGAACACTGAAATAAAATCCAGCAGGGCACATCAGAATGCTTCTTGCCCTGTGCTGCACTGGTGGGATCTAAACATTCTTGTATCATTCACCAAATTGTTTTTTGGGTTTTTTTTAAACTCACAGTGCTCTCATGGTATCAACAAGTAACAGCAAACATTTTGCTACAAAGGTACAAGAAAAAGAATCTAGGCAGGATTGGCAAGGATTGTATCACACAACATTTTCAAAAATATATTGTTTTATATGGAGTACAGAAGCAAGTCAAAGAAATATGTTGCACCATGTTACATGGTCTCTTCTTGAGATGGACTTGCGTGTGAAGTAAAGCCTGCATACCTAAATGCATACATTATTAATTCCACCACTCTAAATAAATATATTCAAAGTCTTAGGAGACATGATGTCTCTTATGAGAGCCATTTAATGCAGTTGTTTCCCAGGAAAACAGGTTATTATTATGCAGGATTGTGAAAGATGTGCTTTACAAATTCAGCAGCTGAAAGAAAGTGGGTAAAAAACACTACATTCCAACAGCTGCTTTCAAAAGAGATACTGCACTGGCAAAAATGCATGTTACAAGATTTTAAAAGTAGTAACACAAACACACCCACAAAACATGAACATACTTCTCCTCCCTACAAATAATTTAAGAGAGTTGCAACAATTTTTATTTACACATAATAGGCTGATATTACAGAACATTTCTGCTCTGCCTGCCTTAAGTACCTTTCTGTCAAGTAGGACAATACATCTACAAACAGGACACTAACACCAAATCTTCACAATCTTTTCTGTACAAAAATTCTGCTACTGATCTCCACTAAACAAGATCAGTTTCCTCAGATGGGGGTACTGGACACATAATTAACTAGTTAAACGAAAAAATAAGAGGAGGTGTTGGAAAAAAGTATTCACAGTAAAACTGTGTTTTTTTCCTAGTTGGACATGTCAGATAAAGAACAAATATAAGTAAAACTCTAGTTCATTCACAGCTGTCATCTGGATCACAATTCAACATTAAGAGTTAAAAATACAAAAAGCTATGCCATTCAAACTGTTACTAGAAAAACCCCATAAAATTGCTTGTTTCAGTTTTCCTTCCCTTAGACTTGAAAGAGATTTGACCCATTTATAAAGACAAGTAATGCAATCAGCAATTGCTATTCAAGTAGTTAATTTAGCTACAACAGAACTGACACCAGCATCAGAAAGACATTAGTTAAAAACCCCACAAATCAGTGAGAAACACTTCACACTGCTTTTCTCCAATGACAAAAATTTTCTGCTTCACATGGTGAGATGCTGAAGGATTTTGTGTAAATAAATCTTATAAAGATGCTGTTATGAGGAACAGACTAAAATCTAATGTAAAAAGTTAAATTTCAGAGGTTTGAGAGTTATAAAGAAAATATATCTCTAATGTCAAAACCTCAATAAAAATCTCTGCAGCTTACCTCGAATGGGGCCTAGTGCTGCATCCTTTGCTAATGCAGTTAGGTCACTTCCAGAGTATCCATCTGTCATTCTTTGTCAAAGGAAAAAGTGGGGTCAAGAAAGAAGGAAAAAAACTGAAAACCTGCTTCAAACCACATCAATTTAATATCAGATAATCAAAATGTTAGTTAATCAGAAGAAGTATTACTTTAACGTTATTTTGCAAGTTTAATAAATCAGAAGTGCATTCACTGTAAGTGATCTATATTTCACTGTAAGTGATCTTTCACAGATTAAATTCAAAGCACAGATACTCAAGTCCCAAATAACACTCTAGGAAAAAAAAAAAGTAGCAACTAGGATTTGTAGACAAAACTGATCCCAAGCACATTTACTATCTGTTAGGAGAATTCTGTAGTTTATCAACATTTATCAATTCTGCAGTTTATCAACATTTGTCAATTACCATAAAACCAAAACCTCAAGTGTCCTGTACTTTTTCAATCCAATCAGTAAAATGAGAGAAACCAGTACCACGTGTTTAGTATGATACAAAGTGAACTGAAAGGAAGGTAAATTCTACTACCCACTAGGGTATGTTTGTTTGTTTGTTTTATAAAGACAGCAGATCATCCAAATCCTCAGAACTACAAAGCAGGACATAAAAAAAAAAAACAAAAACCCCAAACCAAGAAGCCAAACTCTGTGGGAGCTGTTCCAGAATTAGACTTAATATCCATGTTAACCAATGAAATACTTTGGAGAATTAAAGGCCTCGACTGAACCAGGAAGCCATCAATACAAAATGCCAACATAAGTGAAAATAAGTAGTACAGGTTACCTAAAGGAAAGTTGAAAAACAAAACCACAACCCTTGTAGAGCAGTGGCTAGCTGCAGTAACAAGAGCTTAGTCTTATGGAGATCATGAAGTCTGTTACAGTTTATAGATAAAGTTTATAGAGAAGCAAAGCAACATAAAATCATAACAGAGGTTAAATATTTCTATCTTTCAAAACAAAGAAAGATGGAAAAAGAAGCAGGCAGGATGCTCAACTTCTACATTTTCACTAAACCCTTTAAAAAAGGTGCACTCAAGTTGTACTTGTAATTTGGTTCTTGTATTTGCAGTTAGAATACCAGACACTGACTGTGGTTTTTCCTCCAGTTAGCTACTATTGCAGCCTAAATGTGGCCTGAGCTAACACGGAATGTGTTCAGTTGGATTACACATCAATTTCTGCAACATTACCAAGAGGCTGACAAACGCTGCATCCAAGACTGTGCTAACCTCTGCTGTACTATCACAAAGAGAAAAAGACTGAAGTATATCCACCTGCATATCTCTGCTATTTCGTGCTCTGTTTTCACTCCTTCCTGCCCTGCCTGCTTTTTAGTCTAATCTCCTTCACACCCATTATTAGATTTAGGTGACTAACAGCAGTACTGTGTCAATCTCAATGATAAGAAACATAAAACAACTCCATTCCATAACAGGAGGTAAAAATAACATTTTCCCAATCAAATCTGAAAGTGCAAAGAATCTAAAATTACCCAGTGTTTGCTCTGCTGTGTCGGTAATACATTCAACAAGCCTAACGAGGCACCAGCAAGAGACCTTGCCTTTTATTTGAAATGAATGCCAAGTGCAAAACTGGCACTATCTTTTTGCATAAGGGAGGAGAGCTGGACTCCTTGAGGGATGGGTGGAAAGAAGCATCCTCCTCCCTCCTCCTCAAAGGAAAGGCATGTTTCAACAACAGAAACCTGACTGGGTGTATCCTATATATGTATATATAAATGCACTTTTAGACAGCCTGACAGGGAACCATCTTCCCCAAATGCATGCATTTCATGCTGTCGCTGTCAGATGATTTACATTAGTTACATTTTGAATGAAGTAAACAGTCTGAATGAAAGCAATAGAGGAATATATTTATTTAGTATGGTTACAAAATACTTACCTAGCTAGTTGAGCCAACTCTTTTTGAGTTAATGGACTTCCTTGCTTGCTTAGAAGATTTTTTAGCAAAATCAATCTTGTCTGAAAAGAAGATAAAATTATCAGATGTAAAACTCGTTTTCACGGAACGCTTAAAATTGTGTTTCAAGAATAGAACTATGCTTTTGTCAGTTTTGCTTTTGTGCTTCACCAGTTTGAACTTGCCTATAGTGATTGTGCAATTAAACTGTACAGTATCATCTATTCAGGAGCAGAGATAAGGACTGGGTAAAAACAAGATCAAGATCCTAACTACTAGTATCAAGAATAAGTCATCAGAATCTTCATCAAAAGTACTGATCTCCTGTTGAGCTGAAAAACATTAGGAAAATTATCTTTTGCAATAAAACACTCTCCTTCAGTGAAACAAACATGCCCCTCTAAGTCCTACTTCAGACTTGCCCATGTCTGCCAGTCTGTAAGGAACTAGTAGTTCTTGACTAGTAGTCAAGAAATACTGAGTAGCTACCACCAGATTCACTGCTAGTGTGAGTGCAAAAAAAAAAAAAAAGGGGGCAAAAAACTTAAAACTAATGCACAGTGTATATGGTCAAGGTGAGCCAGAGGTTAGTTCACAGAATTGTTATCATCAAGGCTAAGTTAAAAGTTGCCTCTAAGTGTCTGAAAAATATGAGTGGAAAACAATACTTACTTCTTCGTTTGGTAAAGACACATATACCCGTTTGGTGAATCGTCTGGAAAAAAAACCCAAACATGTATACATTGTTCACACTATTATGTAACTATTTAGCACATACAAATCCTTCATTTGATTTGTTTAAGTGACGAACTTTCACTTTTGCAATCAAGTTCTAGGAAGCAGAACTGGAGATTTTGAAAAATCCAACAACAACCAAACAAAAAATATGTACAGTGGCTGGTGCTAACCTACACTTATCTGAAGTTACAAGACTCCTCCCAGAGGGGAAACAATCTAAAGGTAGAAATACCAGTGACTACCAGCAATGAAATGAAGCATCTCTTAATTTTTACACAGAAGTCTTTGGAATAATTTCTTCAGGCAGTGCTGACACATCTATTTTCCTCAATCAAGAATGAAAGGGGAATAAAGTATGAGTACTTTTAACAAAAAAGTCCCAAGGCAAATCTACAGAAAGATCTGTAATTGCATGGGATGTCAGAAGACAATATTCATAGAGAAGTAATACTGGATCTCTGCTCAATCTAGAATACTTTTCAAATTTTCTCCTTTATTCTGGCATTAAGAGCCAAGTAACTAAAAAGTAAAATATTAAGTCCAAGAAATTTAAAAAACACTGACTTGTTCTCAACAGGTACTACTGTTTCAGACAATTCCAAGACCATCATGATTGTGCAGAGGCATCTCAAAAGAAAAGGGTAAAGCCCCTCTTCGAGAGGTTAAATAGTTTAGCCTTGCTGAACAGCTTTTACTTATTACAAAACTTCACCAAGTTGCTAGGCAAAACCTGTTCTGCATAATGAATATCATCTTACTTATATTCAGAAAAAAGAGACACTTCAGTACCTGAGAACAGCATCATCAAGCTCCTGAGGCCTGTTTGTTGCTCCCATCACAAGTATTCTATCCTCTCCAGAAGACTGCACCTATATAATGTTAGAAGGCAACACGGCTTTCAGTTTACACAGTCTACATTAAGCAGAAATACAACAAAACCACTTAGAGACTTGCCATGTATTCAGCACACTGATGGGATCTTAATATATATATGTACATGTTTTGTTTTTTGTTTTTTTTTCCATTAAAGTAGGTTTAAAATATTCCTCAGATAAATGTAAAGTCAAACCAGGAAAAGGTTGGGAAAAAAACCCCAAAAAAAGTCTTTCTGGAAAAAAGTAAGACTATAAAACTGTAAAAGCCACTCATAAGTTTAGTCACCAGGAGATAATTATGTTTAAAAAGCCAGAGACTTTCTGCTGTTTTGGAGTTTTAATACCAAACATCATTTTGAAGTTAAGGTGAGAATGAAAACTTTAAAGTATAGCCATAACTACAAAATCAGAACAGAGATCTATCTAACACAGGCCTTGCATGAATCCAGTAATCAAAGTAGGCTATAAAATAATCCTAATAGCAGAAAGACACAGCAATTTCCTTCCCAATTCACTAATTTTATACCCAAGAATATGGAGACTTAGAGCTCCCAAACTTCAGACAAAACACTGGGCTATCAGGGACATAATTATTCACTTAGCATTCAATTCTTCATAGGTTTAGATTCCCTGCTACCTTACCATGTTCAAAAAGTTCCCCAAAAATACTGTATGACATAGTCATACCTTAAATATCAAATCAGCAAATTTTGTGTTATGCTTATTTTTCCTTTTCCATTTTAAGGGATAACTCTGTATGTGTGTAATAATTTCTGTATATCACTGTCTTATTTGTCCATATCGACATTATTTGTCCTGGTTCATCCATTTTGGAGTTTTTCCAAACCTTGCTGTCTCTCCATGTTGTTATCTGCTCTTCCTGTACCTCATTATTACTGCCTCACCAATGTAGCAATATTCCACTGTGCTAATGGAACACAAACTAAAATTATTCAATACAAGAACAGTGCTGTGACAGAAGAATATTCGGATACTTTTTTGTATGTGTGTCCCACTATCAAATCCAGTTCCTCTTCCTGGGTATAGCATTCATGCCATTAAATACTTGTTACTGGATTCTGTCTTCTCTAGCTTATGATGCCAAGAAAAAAGCTAGTTCAATGAAAGGTGTACTAACACAGAAATGAATCTTTCTGATATGTGAGAGCTATGTATATGGTAGATACATATATATATGTATGTATATGTATATATATAATCCAAACTAATCTGTTTGAAACTCTCATCCCTCGAGTCTCACCCCTTGACAGTGTATTCTTGTGACACATTCCTTTGAAACCAAAAACTATTTAAAAGCCATTTAATCCTGCTTTGCTTTGCCAGAATAAAGAGAAGTGATTCATTAAGCCATGCAATTGCAAACATGGATTCAACTCTCCATGACCCTCAAATGTCCCTCTTGCCCTGTAAGAACAGTTGTCTTCACAGCTCCTTTACTACTGCCATCTGTTATCCTTTCTTTTCTGTCCACAATCTTACAACACAGCATTAAAGATCATCTCCAGAGCGTTACTTTTTAGTCCAAACTGCATCTTCCAGAATAAAGAATAACACAGTAAGCAGGTAGAAAATTAAGAACCACCAAAAAAAGCTGTTTGTCAATTTTGGTGAGGTGGGAGGGAGACTGAGCTAAGCCCCAGCAGCCAAACCCTTTGTAATTCACCTATAGGTTGTACTGGCACCCACTACATTAGCCAATTTAGCTAAATCAAACCACTCCAAGATTAAATACTTACACCATCAAATTCTATTAAAAATTCTGTTTTTAGACGCCTGCTAGCATCATGTTCACCTTCTCGTCTTTCACACAAAAGGCTATCAACTTCATCTAAAAAACAAAGAAATACATCTTAATTAAACATGCAACATCAAAGGCTTTGTATTTGCCTAAGCTCCTTTGCTAATATAGGGCTCCATTAAAAGACCAGATCATTATTCTTTAGGAGACAGACAGTTTTTAGCAAAGTTTAAAAACTTGCGTGATGTGTTGGCCTTTGAATAGGTAAGGCCAAGCACAGATTAGAGGGGGAAAAGAAAAAAAAAAAGGAGGAAAAAAAAAAAAAAGGAAAAAAGAAGGAGGAAAAAAGAAGGAGGAAAAAAGAAGGAGGAAAAAAGAAGGAGGAAAAAAGAAGGAGGAAAAAAGAAGGAGGAAAAAAGAAGGAGGAAAAAAGAAGGAGGAAAAAAGAAGAAGGAAAAAAGAAGAAGGAAAAAAGAAGAAGGAAAAAAGAAGAAGGAAAAAAGAAGAAGGAAAAAAGAAGAAGGAAAAAAGAAGAAGGAAAAAAAAGTCTTTCTGATGACAAATTGCTACTCAGGACAACCAAAATACATTTTCATGTTTGAAGTTTAATGGACTTAATCAGTGAAGGCAGTACAGTATTTTTCTTTTTGAGACCTCTTCCTATTATTACCACCAACTAAATAACGTAACAATGATCCAACATTCTTTTTATGAACTACTGATTGGCTGGCAGGTCATATCTGACACAGTTGTCCTGAGCTGCAGAATTCTCAAAAGAAGTTTACCCAACTATTCCAATAGTTAATTACTTATTAATCTTTGGTAAGTAAGATTATTTAAGGAAGTAAATAGAAGTTAACACCTAAGGTCTTACCAATAAAAATTATAGAAGGTTGAAGTTCTCGGGCTACTGCAAATAGAGCACGCACCAGTTTCTCTCCTTCACCCACCTAAAATAACAATAAACTGATTTTATAGGGGGTTAAAAATTTTTACAAGACAGCTAAAAGAAGGACCTACAGAAAATCCTGCTGGTAACCAACCACACTCAGTCCATTTATACATATTCAGACTATCACTGCTTCAGTACATACAACTGTACTGTTTACATCCTAAAAGAAACACTGTAACTTCTCTTACTATTCACAACTGAGTTAACTGTCAAGAGATTTTTTGGTGCCTAAATTACCAGAGTGAAAGAGACCTGGGACCAAACTAATTCAATTTTTAAAGATGAAAAACCCCACAACCAGTCATCTGCATTACTGCCAGAGCCACTGCTGAGCTGAAAAAACCTTTGATATTGACTTACCACAAATACAAAACAAAAATTTTAGTTCACAAGTCACTTTTTAAAAACTACCTTCATTATAGGCTATCAGTTCACCAAGGACTCCTCAGAAGTCTCTGGCTTTCTTAAGCCCTAATTAAAGCATGGGTGTTTTCAAATCATTGTATTTTCCAGCTACTACTTACATATTTTGAAGTCAGGCTCGCTGCGCTGATGTTAAAGAAAGTAGCATTTGATTCTGCAGCAACTGCTTTGGCCTAGGAAAGCGGGAAAAACCAAAGTACTTTTAAGAACTATCATGTTGAAGATAGTTCTCTGCATCTGTAGTGACTACTCATGTCCTGATAGACAGTTCTGAAAGGGAGCACCTTGTAAAAATGTTATGGAAAACTTCTGCCCAGGCCACTTACAAATGAGAATGGCTATGCAGTCAAACCAATAGAGAAATTTCCAGACTCCCATAGACTTCTCTAATCCTATTAGCTCCATAGCCAACTACAACTTGCTTTCAGAAGAATAAGTCTCCATTTCCTTTCAATTTATCCTGAATAGACATTTAAGCCAATTTTAACTAACTTAGGGCAGTAATTTAAGGCATCAGTTGGATCAAATCACATAAAAAATTATGGTGTTTTTTCTCCTCCTTCATCTATGCAAAAGCTGTTTTCAGAGGAAAGCTAGGGAAAATAATCAGCTGGAACGCTCATTCAGAGTACCCTCTTCTTTAACAGTTTCACCACATTCAAGAAATTATGATTCCCTGGTTATAGAGTCTAATTTTAGTGATTAGCAATTATATTCCAGTATGTCACACATAACAGATGAGCCCTACATGAGCTGCTCTACATTCACACTCCTGCACTTCAGAGCTGATCCAGCTCCAGTGTCAGCAGAGTGTGCAGCTGCAGCCACACCATGTGATCAGGACGATGTGCCCGGCTCAGCTGCATCAGGACACTTGATGCTCCCTGGCTGATGCACAGCCATGGAGCTCCAGTTCCCTGGATCTAGCACACCAGGCTGAGAAAAAAGTTGCAGCTAGGCAGCCCTTACATTCTTTGCACAGCAGTGTGCAAGTGAGACAACCCTTTTCTTTGCTACTGTGCTCCCTCCCCATTTCCAAAAGGTACTTCTAGTATGCTTCATATAAAGCAGATAATTTCTGATTAATCACTGCTGTACAAAACAATTAACCCACTTCCTTTTGCTCTCTATGAAAATGAAACCTGGACTTGCTGGTTAAAGTTTTAAAATATTATTTGTCATAATGAAAATAATTAAAGAGAGAATAGTTTAGCAATTCCCTCCATAAAATTCAGAGTTAAGAACAATTTTGTGTTTTTATATATAAAATGACTCTCTAATACGCAGTCTGTAAGAATGTACAGTTTATTAGTCCAAGCCCCAAACTGAAAGCCACCCCCTGTGGTTACATTTTAAGCCCACCAACTCATCATGAAGTAATTTTCTCACCAACATTGTCTTCCCATTTCCTGGCGGGCCAAACAGCAATAAACCACGTGCAGGAGCTCTCAGACCTGTAAATAACTGAGAAGGACATCATCATAAGTTATCATCAAAGACTTGAATAAAATGTTGCTTTACCTTTGTAAGAGAACGGTTTAAGACTGAGGATGCTGGCTAGCACTGATAGGAACGGTAGCAGTGAGTGCCACAACACTACAGGCTTTGAGAGAACTACATTGTCACTAACTTGACCTAATGCACACCACTATTGTTTCCCACACAGCAGCTAAATTATGTTGTAATTGTTCTGTGCCTGGATGCACTGTGAAAGCAGTTTAAAACACTTTCCACAAGACACACTAGCCTATCAAGTTTAAAGCATGAATTCCATTTAAAAAGGGAGTAATGCAGGTGTACAGTAGGAGAGCTAAAGCAGTGTTTTTACTAATTCCATATGGAAGAACTCCTTTATCTTTCCTTATGAAATGAAACTTGAGAAGACAAGCTTTCAACAAAATGATTTGAAGTATTACTTAACAAACACCTACTCTCTCTATGCTACTGATAGTCATCTCCTCTCTCTCACTTTCAACTAGATTCATCTTTCCTAGTCTATAAAATTGTGCACATCATATGTAGCAAGTCTACAAATTCTCACAGAATACCTAACTTTTAGTTATTACTCTTGCCTTTTTTCTCTAGTACTTCATCTTTATCCCTTCCCTCAAAAGTTTCAGAGTATTTTTTTTGGTCTCACACTCACCCCTCCCTTCCAGCTTGCAATAATTCCAATAACCAAGCAGGAGGGTATCTCATATACATCCCACGTGTAAACAGCACTGTCGGCAGGCATTTCTTTCCACAATATCCATGACAACGAATAGCTCCATTACCAGTGTTTTATTTCTGCCATGACTGACCAACATGTGTTTTCTCTATTATTTCATCATCCACAGCATTTTCTTTGTGCTTAACTGACCCCTAAAAGTAGTTACCCAGCTATTCACTGAGTGAACACTCCAGTGTTTCAGCTTTCCATGCTGCATACCACCATGTGCATTTTTTGTCTGACTTCTTTTGTTTGAAATAATTTTTGGGGAGTTCCACCATTTTCACATAGCCCAGATCAAATCTGTAACTCCTCCTCACCTTGATCATCACCTACAATTCATCTGCACTTATATTTATTACTGAGATACACAAAGCTTTTCACACAAAGTTTTTATTAACAGGCTAATTATACTGAACATGGTCTGAATTAACTGCTGGCATTTCATTACCATCTTACCACTGAAATGGTTGCAGCCAATATTTCCTGCTTATGTACCTCAACTTTTGCTCTCCTACAAAAAATACCACTGGCTTGTTAAATATGAATTTGAGTCATTAAGATTAAAACTGAACTAGTGTTAATTTACTAAGTATCCCCCTATAGCTGCTGTGTTCATTTACAAAGAATAAAACCAACCCTCTCTACTCCCAAGGAAAGTTTAAAAATTTATGTGATTCTCTGCCCTTATTTCATCTCAACCTACACCAAGGTCAGGCCCATTGCTAGCTACAGTAATATGAAACAACTTTATCCAAGATACCACAGCTGGAAAAGCTACTCCAAGCCTCCCATCTCCAAGTCCTTCCCACCCAGCTCACAGTATTGGTGTCACTGAACAACACACTTGACAGACTACAGCACTGTAGTAACAGAGATGTTATAATGACATCTTCCTTCTGCATAACAATATCTGAGCACACATATTTGTTGACAAAGTTTTTTTCTCCTTACAACTCATATTTCTGTGATGCTATGCCAGGTTTAGGGTTTCTTTCCTATGCTGCTTCAAAACCAGTTAAGCATTAAGGGGAAAACCACAAAGCAATTTCAGTCACCTTTGTCTATGTAACAAATGGGACCCACAAAAAACAGAAAATACAAACAGCAATTTTTCTTCAATAATCACAGAATTATAAAGTGGGCCTGGATTGGAAGGGACTTTGAAGATTATCTACTTCCAACTTCCCTGTCGTGGGCAGGGTCATTTTCCATTAGACCACACTGCTTAAAGTCCCTTCCAATCTGGCTTTGGATAACTATAGGATGGGATATCCACAATTTCTCTGGGCAACCTGTTCAAGTGTCTCATTATCCTCACAATGAATAATTTCTTCCTAATATCCAAATCTAAACCTACTCTCAGTTTGAAGTAAATTTCCCTTGTTCTGTCACTACCTGCCATTGTAAACAGTTCCTCACCAGTTTTCTTTTAGGTCTCCTTCAGGTACTGAAATAATGTAATTAAGGTCAGCCTGGAGCCCTCTCTTCTCCAAGCTTAACAACCCAAATTCTCACCCTTTCCTTACAAGAGAGGTGTTTCAGCCCTCTGATCATCTAGCAGTTCCTCCTCTGGACTTGCTCCAACAGGTTCATGCTCTTCCTGTGCTGGGGACCCCAGAACTGGACACAGCACTACAGGTGGGCTCTCATGAGAGCACTGCAGGAAATCATTGCACACAATTTCCTCAAAAGTACTGCAAATCTTAGTAAGTTCAGCTTTAGAAAATGACCAATATATTTTTTTCCTAAAACTAGCTCAGAAAATTCCAGTAGTATGCAGACAAGGCCTGAATCTAGGCAGTCACAGCAGTTGAGGTACCAACTATGATAAATAAAAGCCTAAATGATCAACTTCCATATAGCCAGGTAAAGAGAAAATCTGCCCTCAAATGTCACATATCTCAGTGTATTTGTTTGTTGACTACACTTCTTTGCATCCTCTCCATCAGTAAATAAACTATTCAGTGTTTAACCAATATCCTCACAGAGAAGATGACCACGGTAACAATAATGTTCTTCAGATCAGATAGTGTCATGACCTAACTTACCAATACACATCTCCCACTTCACTCTTCCAGTTGTGGGTTTTGTCCTTTATCTATGGCCATATAGGGCTGGACACACAGCTATAGCTATCTGGAACAGACAGCCTGACAAACAGTGAGAAATTCTGTTTGTTTGCTTTTGCTGTTTGTTTGTTTTATAGGGTTGTGGGGGTATTGTGGTTTTTTGGTTGGTTTTTTTTAGAGGTTTGTGGTTTACTGATTTGATTTGGGTTGGGTTTTTTCAGGGTTTCTTTTTTTTTCTTGCTGCAACATTGATTAAAAGGAAGACAAGGAATTTCATATATAGGAATCCTATATTCCCCTTTTCCAAGATGGCTAGGACCCTACAACTACCCGTCATAATCACAATTAGTAAAAACAGGATTAAAGAATCATCATTTCATCTGTGAGCCACAGCACATTTCTTTGATCCTGTCACAGATTGATCACAATACCCAGTTACTTACCTCAGGTCGAAGAGAAGGAAGGATAACAATTTCTTGCAAAGCTTGTTTAGCCAGTTCCTGCCCTGCGATATCATCAAATTTGACAGCTGGCCCACTAACAAAGAAATGGAATACTGATTAGTCTAACAATGAGATACTCTTTTTCAGCTGCAGCTGACTGTTTTAATGCATTTGACTATTTATACAGAACCCTTTTGAGAAAATCAACAATTTATATTCTTGAGTATCTTAAAACATCCTTTTGCCATCCAAAAAATCCTCAAAAAGCCCCAACAAAGTGGAAGTATTCATTTCATTCCAAGTGGTCCAAGATGGTACTGAATGCTAAACTGATCTACTGGACTGAAAAGCCTACTTTTCTTCATACTTACCTATCAACAACTTCATTTAGGATAAGATTAGCAAGATTGCTGTCCACATTTCTAAATATCTTAGTGTCTTTCTTTTTTCGAGGAGCAGTTGTAGGGGTAGAAGGTTTATTTGTTCTGCTATTTTTAGGAGCAGCCTGGAGAGAGGGGAAGAAAAAAAACCCAAAAACCCCAGATCAATACTTTGAAAGAGTAGTGTTAAACAAAATAAGATCTACATTTCATATGTTCCAGTAAAACAGCATGTTAACAAATATCCAATATTCTAACGCTGTATTTTGCTACAAATTGTATTACCATATTAGTCAGCCACAAATAAGAGCATCTTAAGCTCCAGTGGTGAAGGGTCTTTGATTTGAGGTTTTTTAGTTTGATAATTCATTTATTTAACTACAGTATTTCCCCCCAGCATTGTCTGGAAATAAGCGTCACAAACCATCTTAGGTTCTCAATACAAGAATAATAAGCAAGAATTCCAAATGTTGTCATACTTGATAACAGGTCATTTTAAAGTTTTCATATAATATTACACCAGCAGTGTTTTAAGAGAACAGTAATGTTTAGTCTATTCTGCTCTTTATTCTACTTTACTGGACAAAAAGGATGGAAGGGAAAACATGGGTCAACAGAAATGCAGTATTTTTCTGTATTCTTACTATAGGACTTACTTCTGTGTTTCAGTCCCAGACTAACCACAATTTGCTTTTCAATGTGGTTGCAGAACAACCTGAGCATGTATGTTCTCCTCTTGGAAGAGAAGAACATGTAGGGGGAAAAATATTGTAGTTCTGGAGCAAGAGGTTTCTCAGTCCATCCTTTACATACTAGAAGTACGTTATTTTTCTTCTAGGTAACTTTCACTCAGCTTCCCATGCAATTTTAGAAACAATTCCCATGCAATTTTAAAAACAAGTAGTATTTCTTTCTGTGACCATACTTAAAATCCTTTTGCCCATGCACCCACCTCATGCCCTCCCATTTCTAAAATCCACTCTGCACCATACCTCAAGAGGCCCAGCTAAAAAATCTGGAGTTTCAGTTTTTTCACAAAACTTTCTGCTGCTACAATACTGCAATTAAGGCATTAAAATCCAAAGCTGCTTCTGGAATCTACACTTGATTTTTCAAGTGTATACTTCCATATTTATCCCCACTATACCTTGTGAGCTGAAGGCGTAGGATTAGGTGCTGGTCTAGACACAGATGATGATACCCCACTGTAGCTGGGTGTTCTGTGGTGACCTGAAAGGCCTGTGGATCCAGTTTTTGCAACAGTCTTTGAACGAGGAAGGGAATTACTCGTGTGGGTTAGGGGGTCCTTCTTTTTTGGAACTGCTCCACTTTCTATAAAGAAAACCAGTGCCATGAGAACATTTGCAGCAGTTGTGCTTTTACCATTAACTAGAAGTTAACTGCAACTAGAAGACAGAATTGTTGAAACGTGTAATACTGCATTATAGAAGAATAATAGACATTTCTAAAGAGGTTTAGTGTTTTTAAGGGGATATTGACTGCTGCTTTCATCTACAGTCAAAATTCTAATTTTTAGGAACTCTCAAAATGAACCGAGTTAGCCATCTTAGAAAGTCAGAGATGATGCAAAGCCTTCTGGCTTGTGGTCTGCAGTCTTCTTTCCCAAAAACTCTTAAAAACAATCATTACAATAACTCCCAAATCAGAAGCCTTTGGATTCAGAGTAGTGATTCTTTAAGTGATGCCAGCTAACATTATCTAGCACCTTCCACACAGAAGCTTCACCAAAGCATTTTAATCTGGAAAAATTACAGTAGTAGTTATACTTGCAAGTGACTGTCAGGTGCTTTTTCTTTCAACTTGCTTTCACTTTAGGAATCTTTAGGTGTAAGGAAATTCTGCATGGACAACTCTGAAGCAGCTTACCTTCCTACATTAAAAAGTAAGTCTTAAAATATATTTAAACATCACCAGACATTCCATTCACATTACTTATTCACCTCCATGGTGAAGCAGGGAAGTCTCAAATCAGGTGACAGATAAACTCGAAATACTGGCCACAGGTCATCAAACTACAAAAAGCCATTTTGGTCCAGAGTAAACAAAATAGAGCTTGATGTCTATGTTCTCCATATGGGATATTCGATAAAATAAAGTTCCTTGGCACAGAAATGGCAAGCGTAAAACATCTAATCAGAGATTAAGAGGTAAGAAGGTGATACAGCAAGCAGGCAAGTTGGTCAGGCTGGTTAATGATTAGAGCATAGCTTTAGATTAGGTATTTTTTTGTGGTGGGAATATACTCCTGGAAACTGTCCAGTACAGTACTGTTGTCTGTGATGGAAACTATAAATACTGTCTAATTTTATATCCTTTTAAAAGGTTTAAGGAGTCTTTTGATTAGGCAAGAGAAATAGGGCGTCAAAGGTAAGGAAGTTCAAAATAGATTTCAACTACAAGTGTCTTCACTAAGGTTGTAGAAACTTGCAACTCAATTTGATGTGCTAGGTCTTAAGGAAAAGAACTTTGATTTTTAAGGAAATTCATGACTCTATGAAGAATTTTTAACTTACAACACTGCAGTTCAATGAAAAATACTTTAAGTAAAAAGCCTCAATTTTAAATGTTTAGTTTAAAAAACTCAAAGAACACTTCAGTCAAACAGTATCATGGAAGGATCAATTAATTACTCCTATGTTCTCAGCCTCTTTAAACATCCTACCAGGACCAAATCTCTACATGGCCTGCAAGCATCCTTAACAATTCAGTGAAAAAGTTTCTGAAGCCCTTCTTCAGTCACAAATCTACCCCTTTTTAGAGTTACAGAAACTCTGCAGGGATCACAAAGCACAATGCAGATGTATCGATATGTAAGAAACAAGGCAACTTGAAGAATATAATTAAGCATATTTACCTGCAGTATGTTTCTTGTTGAAAACAAATCAACAAACAATCAAAACAAAACAAGAAAAAAACCCCAAAATAACAAAACAAACCAACAAAACAAACAACCCTCCCACAAAACAAACAAACAAACACAAACAAACAAACCCCCCCAAAAACCAAACAAAAAACCACACCAAAACTGGTTACTGACTAAATCACACACAACTCCAGACCTGGATACATTTACGTAGTCATTCCTGCACAGGAATTTCCAAGTCAAAAACTCTTTAAAATTAGGCACACTTAGCAACTTTCAAGTTCAAAAAGCAGTGTATGAATCTATTAACACATCTAGCTACTCAGCACTTTGACTGAGTCCAGTTTAATCAAAAGGTGGCACTCAGTTTGGCTGGGTTTTTTTTAGCCTGCCTCAACCTCATTTGCACACCTGGCTTGAAGTCAACACGGGAAGGCTTCAAAAACCTAAATTAGTTTTTCTCCATGTCCTTCACCTTAACATGCTGCTCAATTATCTCACTCTCCCAGAATTACTCCCACATATTGAGAACAATACACAGATACTGCAATTTTGAGGATCATAAAATTGCACAGGTAAAGAGCATTTCAGGACGCTGAAAACAGAAGGAAGGAAAGAAGGGAAAAGAAACAAGGTTTAATACAAATTATGATTTAGTCTAACTGGACCTCCAGGACTCAAGACTGGTAAGTTTCCAAGTTTTGTTGTCAGTCCTGATGGGTAACACATAAAGAAGCACTGGTGAACAGCTCATGAAGTAGTTGTTTGTTGAATATCAATTCCAGAGGGAAGCTTCATTTTTTGTACAAATTTTCATTGAAGTAACAAATAAAAATGTTATCAAATTGTTCAGAATTACAGTTTATCTAAAGTTTATCTATTTCTAAAGCATAAGGTATTTTAGGTAACATCACATATATGTCACATAGCTCCTACCACTCCATTATACAAAATAAATATTTTGCCATGACAAATGCATAACCCCCAAACACATTTCTTATTCACTTTTATTTGTTATCTACCGAAAGACTGGAAATACATAGCAAATTATTTAATAAAGCCTTCACAGTATCTCCAGCAGCCTTTTGCCAAATGTTTCACTGTTCCGTTTAAAACAAAACGAAAATACCTAAAACATATTCTAATCACAAAGAGACACCATGGAATTTTTTCAACTGTATTTGAAACGACGAACAGTTCAACTGACTGCTTCATATATACTTACAGGATAATAATAGATGTTTTATCAGTTTGATTTTACTCTCTAATTCTGGACAGAATAATTTACTTTATAGCTCCAGGCTAACACCACTGGATTACACAGACATAATAGCTGTCTGGTCCTGAAAGCATCCCTATAATTTTAATCAGCCATCCAAATACACACACAACACAAATTACAAACAAGCAAGTAGCAAAATTTTGTCTGGGGTTTTCTCTTGGTTAAAGTGCAATAAGCTGCAGACACAGGTGCCCGATTTCTGACTCCTTTACAGAGAGAAATGTTAAAAGTGTATATTCTATAATATGGATACTAATTAAATAAAGACAAAGTACAAATACATTTGAATAAATCTAAGAGAAGCTTGATTATATTAAATACCTGGAAATGCAAAAACAATCTTAAAATCATGCAGCGGTAGCTCATTTATTTAATATAACAACATCCTTTATATTTCTAAAAAGCAAACCCAGTTTCTTTTCTGCATTTAAACCAGATTAAAGCACATGTCAATAAACTCGCTTCTACTAGTCTAACTTCTTAAGCATCCAAAAGAAAGTCTAAATTCAAATTAACAGCAGCAATTCCAGTACCGCAGAACAATTTCCAGCCTTTAGTTGTGCCATCTTAAAAATCATCAGGGAATATTCCTCAGAAATTCCCTACATATGCCTATCGATAAGTAATATAAAGGGACTAAAACAAGTTATTGTACATGGTCTCTGGACACCAAGTTGGAAGAAAAATCCACCAGTCTAAAAATGTCTTTATGTATGTAGTTTCATTTAAAAAACCCAAAAAAACCCAAAAAACTTTAAATTGTTGCTTTAAACTTGCAGAAATTGCAAGACTGGTCATTATGCAGGATCAGCATTCACAATAGCCCCCAAAATTGTAATTCTTCAAAAATACAATTCAGATTTTTCAAATAGGTAGATGCAAGTAATAAAAGCTACTTAAGAGAAAGCTCCAGCAACTAAGAAGGACATGCTGCATGTTTTCAATGGTAGCACAGCTGCACAAGCCAGGAATTACAGCTGCTCTCCTTTCTCAACTGACAGAGCCACACCAGTCAGAGATCTGCTTTCGTCAAATTATGCTGTTAAAAACAATCTTATTTCTACCTGTTCTTCTACTTGGGGAGCTCCTTTGAAAAGTTCAGTATTAAAAATAGAACTTTTGCACCATGACAAACATTGCCAATATATGCCTACTATTAAAGACTGGCCAGCAACTCCCTCCATGTGAAAACTGAGATAAAATACTAGCTAGCTGCACAGTATTCACGTTGAGGTAACAGAAATGTAATGCTTTCTCTGGCCATCCATCATGCTGAGATGTACGTGTAAAATGGTATACACTGGAATTATAATACTCTAAGTACTGTATGACTACTAAATGAGTTCATAAAACTCAAACTCTGCCTTTGGCAAGACTGGTATAATCTCCTTCCCTAGTTTGTTTAAAAAAAAAAAAAAAAAAAGAAAACAACAATCCACAGTAGAAAGGAAAACATGCACGTTTGAGGGGAAAAAATATAGGTAAGTCGTTTAAATCTAATTTAAGACTGCTATGAGAAGAAGAATGATGAATATTAAAGTAATATTATTTCCAAGTAAAGGTTTGGGTCAAAGCTACTTGTTACTACTCTTTAGACAAGTTACTGCATAGCCCTCTGCAACTGAAGTGCAGGTGACAGTACTGCTATGAGGCCTTGAAAAACCTCAGTATGAATCTGGAAGATAAACTTCCAAGAAAAATCTCTAGCTATTCGTGAAAGTTTGGAAACCACAAATGCTGAAGACAGGGATAGGTATTAATTTGCATTAGAATCAAGTAAATTGGTCAAAAAGGCTGACACAAATACTATATTGAGAGAACAAAGAATCTCAAATCAGTAACACTTTGGAATACAAAAAGCATACAACATAGCAGTAAGAATAGAATCTTACACAAAATGATAAAGCAAAAACATCTGTAGAGACTTTGGCCTTTAAAGGCAAATAAAAGAAAGCCATGTAATTTTAGACCAAATGATGGGCAAAAAGACACTATGTTAAAACTAAGAATGACCATGTTTCATATATCATAAAATCCAGAACTTTTAAAAAGCCCAACCTGATTAGGCAACAGGACAGGTAATACTGTCCACAGACTAAGCTAAGCTTATGCCAGAGCCCTGCGGCTCAGTACCTCTGAAGAACCTCTACCTTCTCAGGTAGAGATAACAGTTCTCTTATCTGAAGTAGCCTGCAAACTGATTTTGTAGCTTTCTAAGAAAGTCTGTCATATCCTTTGTGTTTTTAAATTATTAGAGCTATCCATATGAAAATACTGTTTTACATGTATAAAGGAAGAACAGCAGCAAGATGATTAGCAGATTGAAGCATAACCACCTTTTTACAATGCTTTTAAGAAAAGGGTGTATTACTTGTATGTCCTTAAAAAAAAGTCTCCCTTGCTCCACACCCCAAAAAGATAGAAAAAGCAAGCACAAGAGCATAGGCAGCAGCCATTTAAGAAACCCAGATGCCTGTTAACACCCTGACTTTCATGGTACTGCATCAGGGATCCCACAGCTGCAAACATTCAGTACTTTGGGTAATTCTCAGACTTCCACAACTTTACACCTCGTTTATGGACAAAAATTACTGTTTATTATTTTAGTGCTATTTTAGCAAGTTTGTCTCGGTCTTCTGGGAAAGGATTAAAATAATGTTCTTTGACAAAATGCAAGAGCTGCTGTCATTCCCCCCCTCATTTCAATTGAGCATCACTTTCTTGATGTAAAAACCCCCTGAAATTCAAAATTGCTTAATGGATATTCACAGTATCATAAAGGAAGAGCTAATTAACGGAGATACAACATGTAACCTATATATCCAACACTGACACTTTCTATAACAGGTTTAATGTAATTCCTTGAAGAATATTACATAAGAAATATTTTCTAAAGTGTTGCCTTAGTAAATAGATTTGGATTCTAGGACAGTCATTGCAAGAGAAAACTGAATACTACAAAATAAAACAGTGTTGTCAAAGCCATGGAAAGGATGGAATGTATTTTATACAAAGTCTTTAAAAACAGAAATATAAATCATTTTATTTTAAAGCTGGTGGGGCCAGAATATAGCATTGCATTATTTTGCCTTGTAATACACCAGGAACTGAGAGACATCCCCTCAATAGGTGCTGGTAAAACCAAACCCACCTGACTGGAGATGTCCATTGCGGCATGCCAGGTTAGTACTGTCATTATAGACCTCCATTTGCGGCTTGGAAATTTGCAAAACTGCCTGCAGCTTCTCTACATAGTAGAACAGAGGGGGAGGGAGGAAAAAGGACAAAATAAACAAACAAAAACCAAAAATGAACCAAGAAAATTTATGTATGTTGAACACAGAAATGTCAAGTTTGGCTTTGTTATAGTTAAAGATAAAAGGAATATTTCTATCTATTCTATACATTCAGCAAGTGTGTAAAAAAATTCTGTTAGTATGAGCATGACTGAAAATAGCTTTAAAATTCATCCTTTATGGCTGAGTTAATTACAATAATCTTTCCAGTCTAGTGATTGCAGTTACCTCTCAAAAACAATGTTCAGGACTAACTCAATTTAATTTAATAAATATTTATGCTTATAACACATTTTGGAAGTCCTTCTCAAGGTGTTACTTTTGACCAGGTGCAAGGAGTCCTCACTTCTCTGCACAATAAATGTTCCACTTAAGTAGTAACAGCCAGTAGTAGCATTTTACAGAAACCTTCAAACTTCCAGCAGAACACCATATACACATTACAATAATGTCTTTTGAGATCTCTGTTTACATATTTAATTGCCTTGAAATGAAGTCAATAAAGTTGTCATGCAAATTGTCTTCTTTAGGAAGATTAAGCTCAGAAACATCATGTAAATATTGAATACAATATTTATAAAGCTAAAGATTAAGGAGAAGGAAATTAAGAAGTAATGAAAAACAGCCTAACCATAAGTCAAAGAGGTGTTAAGGCTGCCAACACAAAAGTTAAGGACGACTTGTTCTCTATAGCCCAGCTACCACTCTGGCTTTTACCACTGCACTTAAAAACCTCTAGGCTGTACTTTTTGGGCCCTTTACTCCCTCTCCCACCTTTGTTTCACACACACTCCTCCTACTTTCAAAACCAACCACGGTCCATAAGGATGCAAGGCATATACACTACCAAGCTCTCTCACTCCCTCCCATTTTTCTTCCTTCTGCTCTCCCCCGCAAGAGACAACACTACCAAGAAGCTAGAAGAAAAGAGATGCCAAGTAGAGAAGAGATGTCCTCTGGTAATATGAAAGCATATATTGCAAAGGCAGACAAACTCTACTGAAAACGTACACAATCAAGATCATAAATAACCTGGCTGGAAGAAGAAGTGCCATTCACAGCCTGCAGATGGTACAACCAACAAGCACGAGCACTTCCTTAGGCTTCTTTACCTGTTACAGACCTTTCTCTAACCTTTCTGCTTTGTTCCTTTCATCCTCTTCCTGCTCCTGATCACTCACAGCTAAGATTTCCTGAACAGTATCTTTACACCTCAGAGTTAAAGTGATGGCTTAGTAACATTTAGCTTGAACAAAATATGGTTTAGAATGGAAACTTGGTAGTCACGGGCAAATACGAAAAGCTAAGGTTCAAGATTAGTACATGTACACAAGGTTTACTTCATTTTATACTGAAAGCTTTGAAGAGTCAAACAAAAACTGTCAGTCATACACAAACAGCCTATGAACAACCACAAGCTCTACAACTTCCAAGAAATTACTCTCATAAGCTTTCCTATCCAGAAGGGTAAGCAAAGTCCTTATAGTATGACTGCCTGCAGAGAGTGTACTGCTCTAGTGGACACAGTACTACCAAAGGAGGCAGCAGAATGGTCTGCTCCCTGCCCAGCGCATGCAACCCAAATGGAAAGAACATACAGGAAGCTTAGGAAACAAAATTAGTATTAATAGACTTTTAAGGCATTAGGATAATCAGATGAGTTTTGGAGAACATTTCTGAGCTTAACAAAAATGACTTTCTAGTGAGCGACCATAATAACATCAATTGGCTTGTACAGGAAATGCTGTTTGCTTCAATGCTACAATTTGACACTGGGGTTCTACCATAATTATCAATGTTCAGCTAGTTTCACATATTCAGGAGCTCCAGAACTACAACCAAAGAAAAAAGAAAAAATGTAATCCAACTGCTGTCCAGTTTCAATCCAGAGTCCTCTCATCACATTACCTATTGACGTGTCATTTTAGTATTGCACATAAAATTTCAAAATATGAAAAAATTTCAAAATATCACCTTTCCTTAGGGATAGTATTGCTGTAGGATCCTCTGGAATATCAAAAATAAATTAAATTGAGCATTTAAATATTATTCCAGGGAATTATAGGATACCATCATCTTCCACTTAAACGCTTCCTCCCTATTTTTCTAGACACTGACAAAGTTTACAGATTCTCATTCAATATTTCATTGATATCATTGATGGTACAATGCTGACATAAACCTACCAAACAAACAGCACTGCAGCCACTGCCTTATTTAGGCAACACTATAGCTTGAGTTCAAGAAACTAATTTCTAGTAAAAAATGCTACCCTGTAACATAAGCCTAAAGCAAAAAGCACCGTCTCCTCCAAGATAGTGAAATATTCCAGGTGTCCACTGAAGACCATATCTATACAGGCAGAATATAGGAATATTAATACCTTCCAAAGAGGATACTGATGACAGATATTTGAATTATGTGTCACATATATCCTTCAAATCAAAATACTGAAGCTATGCTATATACACAGGAAGGCACTTCTCATGACAGAAATCTCTCTGAAGGTCTCTCTGAAGTGAGAGAACACAGATAGGTAAAATACATAAATAGCATTAAAACTGAATAGTGTTGCACTGGCCACTACAGCCATCACTACATCACTATGCCATAGGAACAACAAGCTGCCAAGTTCTGTGTATCGACTGTAGAAAACAAATACCCTCCTGTCACTCTAAATGCATCAAATTTAATTACTCTAACATGGGTGATCAATCATCCAGGAGAGACCTAGTGTGTGAAGACCACCGAAGCAAGGTTTAAACACACAACTAACACGTCCTAAACCATGTCAAAATGAGGGGCCACCACCACATCAAATGGAAGAACTTTCAAGTCCCCTGAGAGCCAGCACAACCCAATATTGTCAATGGACTGTCAAAGCGATAAAGTCCCCTTGAGGTGACCTGAAACACACAGCAGTCACTTCAGCTTTCAGACTGTGTCACAGTACTGCTTTAAACAGAGTAAAACACAAAATTTAGACTCATGATGAAAACAGGGCTCGAAGTAGAAAACCCTTCAACAGTGAGTAGCTGCATCCTCTTCCAACATTAAAAGGCCTCAATGGTGTGATGGTGTGATGACACAGTGGTAACATCTGGGTGTGATCAGACATCACACTCTCACCAGTCCCTCCGTTAGTGGGGTCATGCAACTTAAACTAATGTACCAGCCCTTAAAAAAAAACCAAAAATAACAAAGAAACACCCCAAAAACCCAACAACACTGAGCACTTCTCAAGGGACAGTGATAATCAGCATGATTTAACTTTCACTTTCTATGTACTAACAATGTAACCTGCTTGACTGGATAGCATTTGAGTTAGGCACTCTGCAATCACATTTCCATCTAGCAAGCAGGATGAAATATTTGGTATATCATCTGGTTTGTTTTATTCTTTCAGCTAATGCTGAAATTATTATTGCCTTTTCTGACTTAAGAAAGGGAGAAATTCCACAAAGCTAGGAAAAAACACTCTTATGAGTTCAATTCATAGGAAAAGTCACTTCATTAAACTGTAATAGCTTCAAGAGCCTCATACTTAATTCAACTAAAAAAGGATCTTTACAGCACACAAACACTTCCAAATATCTGTTACTATAAGTAACAGGCTAAGAGTGTGTTTAGAATGGCACATGGAATTCAACTCTAGATTACCTTAAATTTCTATAAAATCCACATAAAATGACCAACAGAAATAATAAAAAAAGATGCTGTCAATACTTCAAAGTTGGTTAGATGGCATAAAAATATTACTCAAATAGAACCCTAATGATCAAACTTGTAGGGATATAAAGCCATTGAAATATCTCTCCGAACCATATATTTTGTGTTCCTAAAGGGCACACGACTTCGCTTGCTCCTTTTTATCCAAATTTCACTTTTAGGTTCATTGTATGAAGCACATCCTCAGTAAAAATTAACAAGAACCTAGGCAGAATAAAGTACTAAACTGATAATTTAAAAATAAAAATGAAATAAAACATTACACCAACTAACATAATGGAACACTATGCTATCTGTTTACCTTTCAATCTGCACTCTGAATGAAGCAAACAAATAGCACGTGATCACACATTCTAATAGTAGAGATGAATATACTTCAACTTTAAGGGTTTTTGTGACTTTTACCCTTTGTTTCTTTTCGATCAGATCACAGCAAGTAAGCAACTTATCAACACTTCAAGCACTACTACAGTAATACAAGCAAGGATGAAGCATTACCCACAAAATACAAACACTGTTACTTTAAATTTTGAGAAACAGCAAATTTTTTTCTAGGAAGAAATTCTAGTTATTTGTCATTAGGATGTGAGCAACAAGCCATACCTTATCAAAGATTGTTAGCATGCAATCATTTGCACTTTATTGTTCCCCAGTTCATATTACATCTAGAAGTCAGCCTTCAACCCTAATAAGCGGAAAATATCTTTTCTCCATGTACTAAAACTGTACCAAAAACCACCCATATTAAAGCACAGAAGACAGATGCCTCCTTCACCTCCTGTCCCCACTGATTTTTTTCAAAAAATACTAAAGACATCAGGGAACTTAAGGGAAACAAAAGGGGCTCACTTCCTTGGGATTGTCTCAACTTCCCTGTCAATCACCAGTTAGGAACACAGAACCATAAAGAGTAGAAAAGAGCCCAAGTTTTCCCATCAACTCTACATGCTCCTAGAAGAATGAGTTAGTAGAACTCCACACAAGAGAGGATATGCAAGAGATATTCAAGTTAAAATCAAGTACATTTGTTAGTGTACCTTTAAAGAGCAATTAAAAACATAATCCTTATTTTAATTTTACTGACTGAACTGAAAGCATTTTCAAAGTTTTAAATTTAGAGGATGCACTACACAGAGCTATGGGTCTGTTGTTTGATGGGAGGATCTTTACTCTGTTAAAAGCATATATATAATTTTAATAAAGCTAAAACTATACAACACTATCCTTCTGAAAAAGGTGACCTTACCTTCTAATTTTAAAACAGAACACTACTAGAAAAGAATCAAGAAAATTAGAATTTCACAACCTTATGGTCTACGTGATGTTAAAAAATTATTATCAACATTATTATTATCATTTACCAATAATAAGGAAAATTGTTAATGTAAGTGATAGCAAAATCAACAGACTATGAAGTAGTTACACTTACAGGAAGCACACTTGGCACTCATGATCAGCAATATATCCTAAATTTCACCACAGTACTAACAGAAAAATCCTGAACGAACTCCATCAGGAGTTAATCAAGACTTCCTCATTTTATCAGTCAAGTGTGCTATGATATAAAGACTTCTCATTTACTTTTATACGTGAAAGTGGGTCATGAAATTCCATTTTCAAAATCCATCAACAGCACTTACTATCAACTAAAAATTAAACTAAAGAGACCCTATAAAGATAATGACTCCTTCACTTTAAAAATTCAAGTAGTATTTTAGAAGAATACATTAAATGAAGTTGTGCAAATAATTACAAACTTTCCAAAGTCATGAATTGTAACTGGTACCTAAAAGCTGCAACCGATCCTTGGCCATTGCCAAATTTGTCATCATTTTAGATTGGAGACGTCGAGCCCGTTCACACTGATCACCTTACAAAGAAAAATCCATGTTAAAACACAATTTGGTAAATTAAGTACTAAAATACTGATACCCAGCCTTCCAACTTCCTCCTCCCACTCCTTTTTTATCCCCTCCACTATGGAACTTCGTTACAAAACTAATGAAAAGAACTCTAAAGCTTCCTATTTAATCAAGAATTTAAAGTTAGTTGACACTATGTGCTTTACAATAGTGCTTATAGAGTGATGGGAATCCAAACACTGCTTTGCATATTGTCTAACATTTCATGCTGGCCTAATATGCCCCTTGTCTCTGCATTTCTCTGAACAGAAATCAAATTAAAAAAAGATTTTTAAAAAGCTTGAAAAGTGACTGAGAGGCAAGTACAATTTGAGATAATTCCTTTTGGCAAAATTAACAGATTTAAATTCAGTTGACTGTGTCCCTTTACATTTTACAACACACAGAATTAGACATTAACACCACCACTTCCAAAGAAATGTTGTCTGTTCAAGTCAAGCTTTTTTTTTTAACTGTGCAATTTATACAGGTTCTATCAAATGCCACTGGTATTGCCCCTAAGTAAGATCACCATATGCTTCTAAACACAGGTGAGGAACAAAATGAAAGTCTGCAAAAACACTTACAGGTTTAGGTTTGGGGCAGGTGATTTGGGTTGTTATTATTATTATAATATAATTTTGAGGACAGAAATTGTCAGCAAGTCCTTCACTACACCTGTATTTCTATGATACATACCTACTTCTGCACTAAAGGTTAAAATGATTCCACACAGAGAGATGGCTTTCTTCCTTTGTTGGAAATATTCAGTTATTTTGGCCTAAGTTATTCAGAAACACGTCAGGCCATTCCAAATTGAGGGGTTTCTTTTTAGATTATACTGAAGGCAATACAAAATTCTGCATAAGTGAGAACATGAACTGTCAACTTCAGCAAATCAAATCAAAACTCAGTATTTCGGCACTCCCATTATATAAGAAATCATGTGTTTACTTAACAGTGTTCATGAACTCCTTATGATTTTGCAGAGTCTGAAAATATTTGGAGCAAGATTTGCATGTGGTATAGACCAGAATATTAAGGTGGAACAGAGAAATGGACCAGTGTTTACCTACAGCAAAAACAGGAATAAGAAAGATCCTTATGAAATAATTCATATAGCCAACAGCTCCTAGCCCCTACCATATTTACTAATATTGATTTCTCACTTCAAAGAGGCCATAAACCAAAATCAGTTCCACAAAACTCAAAACTGGCTTACCTTGACCAATTACTAAGACAGCTATTCCTTTTTCCAGTTCTTCAATTCCTTTCTTATACCATTCAACAGCTTGTTCCTTTTGTCCTGCTTAAAAAGGAAGTGAGCCCATTATTTTCTTGAATGAATTCAAGCTTAGGAATAGCGTTAATAAATAAAGCAAGATAAATTAATAATTTAATTTATTTTAATAAATTAAAATAAAGCTGAGGTTCTACATAATGTTGCATAAACAAGTAAGAGGAACAGAGATTTGAGCAAAATCCTGTGATTTAAAGAAAGTCTTAAAGGGACACTGTCAACTTTACATCTACTTAAATATCAAATAAGCAAAACCAGGTACTATACCAGCCTCAAATCACTTTTGCCTGTTTTAAGAATAATTCTTCATCTGCCTTAAAGAAATCAATCTCCTCCTCCCCCCACCCCAAATAATAAAAAAAATAATCATAAAAAAATTAAAAAAAGGTAAAAAAGCTCACCTACACATATTCACTCTCAGGAGAAATGGTGAAATTAACAGTTTTTACTTCTGGAACATCAACTAGAGATGAGCCTCTTAATCTTCCAGTGATAGCCAATAATAACACTAATGACAACCAAAGTAACACTAGAAAGCACAGAAACCCAAGAAGAAAAGCAACAAGCCTAAGACACTACACAAGAGGAGACTTCTCCTCTGGTTAACTTTTGTACACTGCAGTTCATTTGTCTTTGTTCATGCTGTTATGAAACATGCTGTTATGTATTACAGGCGTGTGTCAGCTTTCACCTGAAGCTCGAGTTAGAGCACACCTCTGTACCAACCACATCCTGAATGGAATATTACAGCAAACACAACCATGAACATGCCTATGCCTGACCTGAGCTATGTGACACCGTGACTGGAAGTCAGCCCCTGAAGACCTATCTGCTTCATATTCCTCCCTTTCTATAAATACTCTACATTAAAAGTATATTTACCTGCACATGGAAAAATACTTTTACAACATAATTATATCACACTAAGCATGCATTTCCACAGAGGAATATAACACATTAGGTATTAGACCTTAAAACCTGATCAGCATTAACAAGATACTATTGAAAGAAAAACTAAATAGAAGTTCAGGTATCATTACTCTAGTTTCAGATGACATCATGTTTCACAAAACTATCCCTAGTGCCAGTTACCATTGGCTGTGTGCTTCTACACTCAAATCTTTTGATAACTTCAGTCCCAAACCTATTTTATAGCAAATTTCAGTGCTAATAAAAATATTTCAATCCATTTCTAGAATCCTCTTCTGAGTTTCCTCTTGCTCCTCTTCAGATTAAAAAAAAAAAAAAATCTCTTAATAATAATATTTGGCAAGCTCCCCTGCACAGATAATTAATTTCATGCTTTTCTCACCACTACAAACCACAGAGCACCTGGCTATAGTCATGAACACAACACACATTGGGAATCATTTCATTACCGCCCTTCCTTCACCAGCCTCATATATGCTGACTGTTAAGGACAAAGCTAGGTAAATTAAATCACTCAAGGTGAGTGACTTCAATCATCTCTTTAGACTTTAAGCTTCTTCTTCCTTCCACCCACTGAAACAGTTTCGACTGCAGTGTAAATCAGAAATCTAATACTGATTATACCCAAATAAAAATCTGGTTTGAGATGATTCCAGCCACCTCCACTAACAAACCCTGAACTGCTTTGTTATTCTTAGGGGCAGCTGCAAACATGCCAAGGTCATCATTAAAATTTCACTTCCAGCTTTTAACTGGAGAAAGTTTAAAAGCACACCACCACACCAAGTTGTTTGCAAAGGTTGCGCTCCAAATCCACACTGAATGGTTGACTAGTTCTCTAGTGATTAAGACATGAAAAATACAATAAATGTCACTCTCCTTGGAAGTTGCTGATTTGATATTAGCTCTGGCAGAATGGAGCTTATTTTCCTCAAATAGACCCAATGGCATTGTCTTTTGGATTTGTGACTAAAACAGTTGATAACACGGAAATGTTTTGAGTATTGTCGAACAGCACAACCTCAAGGTTTTCTTTTTCCCATCTAGATCCCCCGTGAGCAGGCTGAGGGTGCACAGGAAGTTGGGAGAGGACACTAGCAGGATGGCTGACCCAACTGAATATTCTGCACCATACAATATAATGCTCATCAATAAAAACCTGGGTAGATGAATAACCAGATGAGGGCTGTCTTCCAAGGCAATCTTTGCTTGGAAAGATTTCTCACCTTTCCACCACCCCCCCCCCCCCCCCCCCTTTTGCTTCTCCTATGCTCTGCCCTGTCCCACTGAGAAGAATAAACAAGCAGCTGTGTAGATGCTTAACTGCTTGCAGGGGTCAACACACCACATGTGCCTTCTTAGGAAAAGTTATTAAGCTTAATTGTGAAAATACCAGAATAAGAATAATTGCCTCGCTAATTCAGAAGCACAAAAAATTAACAGAAGTACTATCAAAATTACTGAAGTATGCATGGCTCCCACAACAGCAAAAATGCCCCATAACTAACAGGCATAGCTAACTAATAGCATTTTAACAGGCTATTAGACAATTCAGAAATTCCAACCATTTTACACAGTACATCTAACCTACAGTTTTCTCTTTGAAGCTATAAAAAGCTTGTTTACAGATCAAAAAATTTGCAAATATAGACAAGTATTCTGGCAAAATCAGATAAGCAAATAACAAATCATGTACTAAAGTGAGTTCTTTCTCAGTGGAATGCATATTGCAGTTGCAGGACTGTAATAGTTGTGCAACTGCTCATATTAGCAGCGAAGATCATCTTAATAAATGTATGGCCTGTGCTGCTAATTCATGTGGGATCGCCCTAAAGATACCGACAGAGCAAGTCCATGATTCAAACTGGTATTTAAGGGCTTACCCTCCAAACCACCAACAGTTAAAGGTCACAACAGTGGAACAGGTGTCTGACAAGGGAAGACTTTACTACTCCTCATGGAGCAATCATCAACAACACTGAAGCTCTCAGTTACCTTCTTTCATGCTTTGCTCCTATGACCCTCAGCGCTCTCTCACTGCACATCTGTGCAGAACTAACCTTGCAAAACACAGTGAAGGTTTATTTTTTTTCTCTCACAGAGCATATCACTGCCACTCCCGAACTGTCAACGCAAAGGAGGACACATCCCACGCCTTTATGGTGCTCTCAGCATGCAGCTTCTATTGAAGGCCTACTCCTAGATTTTTAATCTCCTCTTCTAGGATAGCAGTTTCATTAAAGCTCAGCTGAAAGTGTAGAATGAAGCATTCTGACTTCTCCAGAAAATTTTAAAAACCAGTATAGCAAGGCCTATCTTTTGCATGCTGACAGAATTATGCTGCTGTATTCAGAATAAACAGTTACATTAAATTCAGTGTCAAGTGTTTTGTTCGGTTGGGTTGTTTTAACGCTTTACAAAAAAAATTTTAAAAAAAAATTCCTCGCTCCTCTGTTTTATTTTATTGAACCTTAAACGTCCTTCTTAAGGTCTTCTCATCACACAGTGGTAGGTTCTTAAAGAGTATGCGTGTCTAGCAGTTAAAGAAAAACAATTTTTAAGAAACTACCAAAATACAAATAAGCATTTCTTTCCTTAAAAGTCACAGCATTCCAAATGGGCATTCCGAGGGCCAAGTAACCCGAAGCCTCGCTTCAGCACTCATCATTTGTCAGGCAGGGCATTATAGGATGCACCCTCATTATTGTCCTTGCTGCTTTTGTTGTCCGGCCGGCTCAGTGAAGGCTAGTTACAGTGACACGGCCGCCTGCAATTTTTAATCGCCTCACTCAGATCTCCGCGGCAAAAACTCTTAAGTTTTGGGGGAAAAATACCAGCACTTGCATTGCAAGGGGAACGAGCCCGAGCCGCAGCTTTGTGATCCAACCCGCACCTGCGGGGCTGCGGCAGGGACGGACCCGGCACCGCATGCGGGCACAGCACGCCTCAAGCCCCGCACACACCGTCCGCAGCCCGCATTTCTCTCATGAGCGGGTTTTGTTTGCTCTCAGCTGAAAGCGGTTCCACGGCACAGGGCCTTCCCGCCCCCCCTCCCCGCACCCCGGGGCGGCCGCGGGCGCTCCCTCCCTACCTGTCTCGTCCTCATCGATGCGCAGAGCCATGGAGATGCACTCG